AGGAAAGAAATGTACAAAATTAGACGTTTTAGGGTCAGAATACGAACGCAATGTGCCTTGTGTTAAATATTCATCAACGAGCATAAATCTTTCAGATGGATGTCTATTCCAAAGAAAACCGCCATGCGGATCCGATATTCATAAAAAATAAAAAATAAAATAAATAAATAAAAAAACATAAATAAATCACAAATCAAAATAGCTCTTTTGTGTTCGAGACCCCGCAGAGTCTGTGTTTACCTGGGGCAGCGCTTGCATGACAGTATCCAGCAGAGATCTCATTCCCGTGGCCATCTTCAGAAGTTTTAGCACTGCAGAGAGACACAGGAGCGGCCTTTAACAGCGTCCACAGTCTTTATTAGCTGCAGAATTTACAACGGCACAGCACGATACTACTGTAGTACTGCACAGCAGGGAGACACTCCGATTTGTATTTATATCTATAAGCCAGGACTTAGGACTTTACATGAAAAATAAATGTGTTAATAAAAAACGCTTTATAATATATACAATGTTTATGATGTTTGTCTGTAGTGATGACTCACAAACTGACACAATGACTGTGTGTTCTGTCATTATGTACAAGATAAACAGGTATAGACTGTGTGTGTGTGTGTGTCTGTGTGTGTGTGTATGTGTGTGCGTATCTACCTCGTGCTATTCTGAGTACTCTCATGATTCTGATGATGGTGGGATTTATGGGCAGTGCTGCGCTCATTTTCAGCTCCTCCAGGGTGATGCCCATGATGGACAATGCCACTATAGCTATATCCAGCTGATTCCACCTAAACACACAGATAAACAATAAAAGATCATTACACACTGCTCTCTTAAAAACTGTTATTTATTTTTAGCCCATAAGTCCTACTGTGAGTTAGTTGAAAAGAAGGACAGGAGCACAGGAGTGGAAGAAGTCATGCTGCCTTGCTGTTGGTGGCGATAAGTGGGCAGGTTGTTTAGATTAATGTGTAGCCCACCCACTAATCTCTATAATAGGGGGAACACTGAGTTCACCCCTGATAAGGTTCCCCCACGGCACCCTGACACACATGTATACACTCACCAAGGCAGCAAGGAGTCAAAGACCCATAAAGGAATTTAAACTATTTTACACAACATCATGTAATATAATTTGGAAATAATGGCATATACTTAATGAACAATAACTATTACATTCTATAGCATTGTGTGCATACTTTAACAACACCAACATTCATCCCACTGTGTTACCTGTCTTTGAAGAACCTGTGTATGCCAAATGCCACAAGCTTGAGCAGGGCCTCGATGACGAAGATGATGGTAAACACGTAGTTACAGTACTTCAGAACCTCCTCTAAATACTGAACACACACACACACACACACACACACACACACACACACACACACACACCCGGTAGATGTTTATTCATTTTCACTGGCAATACTTAAAACTTTTTTCTAACTTTTTTAAATAAACTAACAAACAACAGAAAAGACAGAACAAAAAGAAGCATGTTATCAGAACTATTGAGGAAGATCCTGGTATCTTTCTACTTAAATAAATCAACACTTTTTGTTAAGAAAAAAGCAAAACATGTCAGCTTTCTCGGGGAGAATCTACAGAATCAGGAAGTAGGGACAGAAATCAGTGTTTAGCCTGACACTGGCAGTGTTGGCAGGAGTTGTTTTATCTGATAATGAGTGTTCCCTTGACAACAACTGTGTTGACTGGTCAACACAGTCAAGCTTTTTTTCTATGGAGACTAGAGCCCCTTGCAAACAAACTTGTGCTGTGGAGGCATTCTGGGTTGCAGTGTCTTCTGTTTAGAAAATCCAAAACACTACATATTTATGGCACGTTGTCCCGTCAGGTTGATGGCGGTGTTACCCATGTTCTGACGAATGTTTCTGGGCACGCACTCAAAGGTGGCTTTGCTTTGCGAAAGCTAGCCTACACCTCGGTCATCATTAGAGGACAGCCAGACATGTGGGAACATTTTATTCTGTGCATAAAGTTGTGCAAAAAGGGAATTTAAAGGGATGGTGATCAGCAGCATCACCACCGCCACAGAGGTTAGTAAAGGTATTTTGGTTCGGACTGCTCAACGATACCGGTACCTATCGCAATAGCTGATCATGTTTGCGTCCTCATGCGCACACGTTACCTGCGGCTGGTTGTAGTGCTCAATGCTCATGGTGAAGACATTGATGCAGATGATGAAGGTGATGAAGAGGTCCAGGTAGTGGCTGGTACACAGTGTGTGGATGGACAGACGCACGGGAGAGTAGTCCGCATAGTAAGGCCTCTGCTTGGCCTCTGGAGCACACAAACACACACACAAACACACACACACACACACACACACACACACACACACACACACACACACACACACACACACACACACACACACACACACACAGGAATAAATATGCAAGAAACAGTTAAAACACAGAGAGTTCAACTGTGAGTAACTGTGCTCTGAATTTTAAACATTACATGTGTCCAGTGGTGTGCACAACGACAGGGGGAGCAAGGGGGGAGGGGCGGCCGCCACTGCCTTGATGCTTAGAATGCCAACTTCTTTTATGCCCTCATTGACCCAGGATGTGAAGTATGTGCCATAAGAGGACTGGGGCATTATTTTTGGCTCCATGTCACATCAGAGGGGCCCTTGAATTATCATTTCAAGTACCACTCTGCACTGAACTTATGGCAAAAAATTAGCCCTAACTATAACCCTGCTCACAGTGGTGGCGACGCCCCCTTTTCGTTCTCACCCCCTGCCTCTCAGACACTGTGCACAACACTGCCTGCGTCGTACATTCGAATAGGCGAGGACATGAGAGTCACAGGTATATTATATATTCCATGGGGTACATATTACAACTTCTCCTAACCAAGAAATCCAAGTCACATGATGACTTTAGATGCAGGCACTGCACCTGAACCGCGATATCTCTCTTTCTACGTTTTATTTTTTCAATTTTTAATGCGGTAAGGCAACAAGACACCAGTTGTAACTGAGGAAGGCTTGTTGTTGCAAGGCAGTTTTGCTAGACTGAGTGATTCTCCCTTCTACCAATCTGACAACCAGATCCCTGACCCGTCCCCGTGCTGGATTGTGTATTTCTCAAACATGTCACAGTGCTCCCTTTAATTGGGGCATTTTCACTGGATTCATTGCCCCTCTAATAATTTCATTCTCGTCAGGGTGAAGAGGTCCTGCTCACTATGTATCCATTAAAACCCAGACTACGCACTATACTTTTTGACAGGTGTGTTGGGAAACTGTGAGCTACATCACTGCCTTTGGAATAATAAACAGACTTTAAGTGTAGGTGTAATCATAAAGGAAGCAGCGGTCTATGAAACAGTGCTTGTTTTGACATGTTTTATGTCGAGCTATGTTTTGACTGTGTACTCACATGTCCATGTTAATGATTTGAGCGTATACGTGCAGCATGTTTATGTTTATGCCTTTGATGTTAGCATCTATGGTTGAGAGCGGCTGCGCAGGTTATGTTCAACAAGAGAATTTTTTTTGCAAACGGGATCGTTAATGAATGAAATGTTTCTGAATCAACCTCATGTGTATATTGATTTTAATCATTTAAAATGAATCTCTCCACATTGCTTCCACTGTTTAGGAAATGACTGATGTTGAACAAACACTGAAGCCGCTCTCTTTTAGAGATTTTAACCCTGCGGAAGAATCTCAATAGTCTAAAACTTTGCATTCTTTTTATGATTGGTGACTGTTTGTGCGGCCAAACATGGAGAGTTTTTTTTTTTCTCTGAGACAGCTGAATAGATTACATTACATTTGTCTGGAGTTTCAGCAGTTTTAGACCAGTGAGACATGTCACTAACACAAGATGAAAAGAGCGGCGTTCTGCTCACACCATATACTGCCTTTCTAGTGTAATTCTGTGATTGATGTGTCGGGTAGATGGATATAATTTTGTGTCGTGGCCAAACTTTGGCGCTCTTCTTTGCTTCCAAGTCTGCCAATAAAAACCATCTGTTTCTACGGATTTCCTCTCTTCAGCTTGACATTTTACCACAATGAACAAACAAGTCCTGGTGAAACACTGTTGTGAGCATTTGGACTTGCTTTTGCAATAGGTGGTGTGTTTCTGATGTTTCTGCCAGCATGTGCTCTTATTTTCCAAAAGCCGTATCTAAAAAATCCTCTATATCGAACCAACACAGCTCTATTACCCAAGATATTTGCAGGTATAGCAGCCAAAACGTCTGCTATGTTTCTGAGTCTGCCAGTCAAAGCATGTTTACACGAAATGTCCTTATTCTGCCCGTGTCTCGAGACGCCTCGGAGTCAAGGTCGTGCATGCGCTCGGAGGGAAGGGGGAAGGGGCATCGGCGTTTCACCGATAAAAATTTCACGAGCAAAAAATTCCCTGAGACACAAGGAGGAAAGCAGCAATCTCACTAAGATTCACATGCAGAAGGTGCTGCAAAGGTTTTCATCATCAGTGATGAAATGTATAACAAAAAAAAAATTCTAATTATTACAAGTAATAATAGTTCTCATTCTGTATTAGAAAAACAGGATTTGATGTTAGAAGATTCAAAAATGAAATGGGGACAACTGAAAACTAATATTGCTGGTATTGTCTTTCTTTTTTTTTTACAGTTTTTACTGTTGGCAGTTCTATTGTTTAAAGAGTGAGCATACAAATTTTTAGTCAGGTTAATACAAATGTAAAGTTGAGAGGTTGGTTAGAATGGCCCGGTATCCGAAGTCTTCCATGCAATGTTAGGGGGGTTGGGGGTTGGGGGAGGGCTGCAGTCATGCACTTACATGCATCAGACTGGCGTAGCCCACGCCTTCTGTCAGTGATCAGTCACTGTTTGCGTGAGCTAGCCAGTCTTCAAACTCTCCCTCTTTTTTCCCTAAATGATCAATTCTAAATAGATTTCCATGTTTTCTCTCTCTGTCATTCTCTTTCTCTTTTTGTCAGGCTCTGAAAGCAGGCAGTGCTCAGAAAAATAGACTACCGACCAGCCCCTTCATTCTCCTTACTCCTGCGCTTTTTCTCTATCATTTTGAGCCTCTTCTCTTCCCGTAAGCGGGCCTCCTCCTCTTCCTGGTCCTGCCGGCACTTGTGGAAGTTCTCCACCACGACACCGACAAACATGTTGAGGACGAAGAAGCTGACGATGAGCAGGAAGGAGATAAAGTAGAGCAGCATCCAGGGGTTGTGGTTTCTCACAGGCTGAGGAGAGTAGGAGAGGAGAAGAGAAGAGAAGAGAAGAGAAGAGAAGAGAAGAGAAGAGAAGAAAAAGACAACGTGAATTCTTTAAAAACCTTTCCTGGATAAGCTTTCCAGAGATTAGAAAAGATAATGTCTCTGACAGAGTAGCAGTTACAAGATTTCTCCTGATGATATCACAAAGTAAGTTTTAATTCTTTGGGTTCAAGTCACTCCGGGGATTGTGTTTTTCGCAAATGTGACTGACTATCTAATATAAGGCTACACTATTTCAGCACATTACACCACGGGCAGTCCTGGATCTGAGGACAGCAACATCAATCGGCCCATTGAAGCGTGTGCTACAAGCTCCTCTTTTGAGCTTTGCTCTTATTTAGAATCTGCATATACACCGCTGCTGCATAACTTGGTTCATTATTATTTTTTTAATTGAATACTAATTTAATTGTTCACTCCCACTCGGTGTCCTTTTCACTCTGAAGTGCATTTAATTTGATTCTAATACTGAGACTGGCGGTGAGGATGTTTTTGAGTCAGGTATTTGCACATGTTGATGTCAGAGCTTCCAGTGGAGGTTACAGTGACACTGTTCTCTAACATGCATTAAAGTTCAAACACATCAAGCATATTTACACAACAGTTTTACTGCTGGATTAGATCTGAGGCCTAATATTGGTGTTTTTTCATGTGGTGTGCACTTAGCTGAGAGTAGGTGCACAATGAAATCAGCAGCATGGATCAAAGCTTTGTGAAAATGGGTTTCTGTATTATTTTGTAAAGTGGTATATAATGTCTTGTATAACACCCGAGGAGAGAGGAGTGTCGATGCGGGTCCTCAGTGAGGAGTAATGTGGGTTACAACACACGTGGACGTTATTGGAGCTGATACAGAGTCAATAAGGCTCTGATTGCAAACCTGCGGAGCGGCGCGGCACATTCCTCACACCATTACCTGTTGGTCCACTCCCACCGCATCAAGCCCATCATACATGATGTTGACCCAGCCGTCCTTACACGACAGTACAAACAATGACATCAGGGCCTGGAAAGGAAACAAAGCATATGTGCGTTGTGAGAGGCAGCTGAGAGAGACAGACTGCTGTCCCGAATAACCTTTTATTTGTGGTTTTTAGCTCATTTATTTTGCATTGAAGACTGTGTTAGCATTAGTGGGTCAGTCTGTTAGTCCGTACCTGGACCAGGTTGTCAAAGTTGTACTTCCTTCTTATCCAGCGGTAATTAGCCTGCAGACAGTCTGACTTGTTGGTGATGTTTTTCGTGTCCAGACCTTCACAGTGGTAGAACTTCCCTTTGAATAGCTAGAAAGCGAGAGAGAGACAGAGAGAGAGAGGGAGAGAGAGAGAGAGAGGTCTGCGGGGCTATTCGGCTGCCATTTACACATTATCGCAATTGCGCCGGAGCTTTCGGCTGTTTAAACATCCCACTTTTGATACGAGGAATAAAAGGATGCTTGCTTCATAGAGCTCATTCTTATCAGCAGTATTTTCCCCGAGTGCTCGGCTTAAAGCCGGCCTGGGGTCCTGTTGTCCCTTTTTTACACTTAACCTAATTGTCATTCTTTCAAAACTCACACTTTTAAAGAACAAAGTCTTATTGTCCATTGAATATTCAAGACACTTCCAAATCCCCCCTCAAGCCACCAGTCACATACGGAGCCGCTCAACAAGACTGACATTTAAGCCGCAAAGGTTAAAAAGCTTTGTTCTCAAGCCAAGAAAAAGCAAATGACGAAGCAGTATCGTCACTGGAGCTCGTGCATTGGATCTCTATCTAGCTTACATTTCTGTGTTGTGAAATTATGACTCGTTTAAAGGCAAGCAGCAGATTGCGTGTGTGTGTGTTACTGCGTGTGAATGCAGACTACCTGCACCCCCAAGATGCCAAAGACAATGAAGAAGGCGCAGCAGATAAGGACAATGTTCCCGATGGGTCTAAGAGAGGTGATGAGAGTCTCCACAACCAGCTTCAAGCCCGGGGCTCGACTGATTACCCTGGAAAACACAGATGTAGACATAGAAATGTTTGTTAGTACCAGCACATACACAGACCAGTACCTGCAGACACAAATGTGAGTGATAGAAACATGAAATAAGGTAAGATGTGTGTGCATGTGTAGTGTTTACATAGAGAACATGTGCACAAGTAACAAAACGTTTAAAAAAAAAAAAAAACATAAAAAACCACCTACAGACACACTAACACAAATACACTGTTTACCTGAGTGGGCGTAGTGTTCGTAGCAGGCGCAGGACTCTGAGGATGCCCAGGATCCTGTTTCCGCCAGTATAGGCCAGAGAGACCAGGATGTCGACCAGAGACACAAACACCAACAAACCATCCAGAACGTTCCAGCTGGACTGGAGGTAGCTCTGATTCCCGAAGCAGAAACCGAGAGCTACAACCTGGTGTGAAAGCACGAGACACTGAGCCAAGCTGAAACCGCTACGGAACCATTAAAACATTACCTCACCTTCAAATCAAAGCTACAACGGGATATTCATTCATACAGAATTCAGTTTAGAAAAATTCAAGAATTCAAGACATAAACATTGACTGAGCGACACCTTTTCACCACACCAGCAGTGGAAAGAAAAACAATAATGTTTACCTTAATGGCCATTTCTGCAAGGAAGATCACAGTGAAAACGTAGTTGGACACGCTCAGAAACACTCGCTCCTATAGAAGAGAATGAAATGAATATAAGGACAATAAAGACAATGTCTCTGAATGGAACTAGTACCGTCAGTTGTGTTACAAAGCGAGTGTGGTGCTTTGAGAAAGTATTGTATTGTGGGAAGTTTGGAGCCTTGATGTTGCTGGGCTAGTGAGTTTCTATCTGTTTGTCTACAGCGAGTTTACAACCGTCAATCGGCTCCAAAAGCCTCTGGTCAGTATGTGTGTGTGTGTGGTGTGTGTGGTGTGTGTGTTTGTGTGTTTGTGTGCACCCGTGCGTGCATAAGTGTGTGTCTCACCGTGCTATGCGGCTGTATGTCAGGTCTTTCCAGAGCAATGGTGATGCAGTTGAGGAAGATGAAAACCAAAACCACATGGTCGAACATTTTGTGAGTGATCACAGCTTGGCACCACAAACGGAATCTAAACACACACACACACACACACACACGCATATAAGAACAGAGGCATCGATAAAACATCCATGGTCGGTTAAAGTTATTGATCAAACAATTAACAGCGAGAAAGCAGAGAGAGAAAAAAAATGAGAGAGGGTACCAAGATAACTAAATAAAGCAACGAGAAGCACAGAGGAGGAACGAGGAAGAGAGTGTAGAAGCCAATGGACGAAAGAACCAAAGAGACTTATATTGAAATTTTGTTTAGTGTGTGTGTGTGTGTGTGTGTGTGTGTGTGACTCACGGGCTCTCTGGAGAGAACAAATACAGATTCCAGTCTTCATGCTCTTTGCACCAGCGGGGCTTCATGTTACGGAGCTCTTTCTTAATCGTGTAGCACAGAGAACTCTGCAGGGGTGAAAGGTCAATGCCATCAGCGACAGCAACAACAATGCTTTCCTTGCAATTCATCATGAGATATGATCATCACTTTATTGTCAAGAAAGAAAGTCATGATTTTTAATAAGGTCCGCACCAAAGTGACCATCATCACTACTACTGTCACCAGCAGCGAGCAAGTTGCCTGTCACAAATCACAACACAGCAAACAGCAAATCACAGACCAAACACAGTAATTCTGATTCTGAAAACATTAACTGCCCCAAACTCTTTCAGCAAAGGTTCAGTTTTAAGGCATTTTTCCATCTGCCACAGAAATGAATAGATTTTTCTTCAAAGTGGCTAGACTGTCTATGGGATTGGCAGCAGTGCTGTTAAAGAGGAAGAGAGACGGCTGTCCTAACTAAACTACAAGCTGTAATCTATAAAGTTTCAGTAATCTCATTTTTCAGAATACCGTTTTCACGCACCTGCAGCCACAAGAGCGAAAACAAGCAGAGACCAAGTGATGAATGTAACTGTATTGTATTTAACATACAGAGTATTAAACCGTCAGCTGTGGAGAAACGGTATTCTTCAGACTTCTTTGAAATGTTGTGTATGTGCATGTTTTATGACTTCACTGTCATAGAACAGAGTGGGGTTGACAGCTGTATTAGGAGGAACGTACATGCCGCCTCAACAATTACACAATAAATGCATTAAAAAAAAAACAAAAAAAAACAATACATGGTTTGACAGTGCTGCTGATGTTAGCCTTTCCGCATTTGAATCTAATGGTGGGACAACAAACAAGTGTTTCCTTGCATAAGTAGAGCTGGAGATAACTGGACAATAACAGACCAGCCAGCTAGTCCCTGACCTCAATAGAAAGTGTAGTGAAACTCATTAAAGTTTGCAATAAAATAAACAGAGGAACGCTTAGGTGCACAGCTTCTGTACTTTGGGATCCTAATTAAAAACAGCCCAAAGTCAAGCAGCCCAAAGACACTGCTTATTTGGCAGGCTGTGGCGAATGTGTGTGTGTGTGTGTGTGTGTGTGTGTGTGTGTGTGTGTGTGTGCAGCGAGTGTGTGTGTGTGTGCATGTGTGTCCAAGTGTGAGTGTGTGTGGATGAAAAGAACCTGCTGCTCAGATATCTTCAGAGCTGAAATCCATAATCCTTGACACCGACACACAGAGAACCACATGCATATACACGTCTCAGATGGCATGCCCCCCACACACACACACACACACACACACACACACACACACACACACACACACACACACATGACGATACTTTGCACGCACACATGCAAACACACACCAATACTGGTAGAGGGTCTGTACTAAGCTTCCCATACTCGGTGTGTCCAGGGAGAGCCCTTTTGTTTCAGCGGATTTCATGGGTTTACAAACTCAATTTGGAGCCAATAAAACCATCAACACTGTCGCAACAGAGGTCATCCAAAACCACCGGGGGAGTACACCCTCCAACAGTTCACACACACACACACACACACACACACACACACAAATGCGCAGCCACAGTGACTGCATATACACAAGTTGTTTTGCACCCACTGAGAAAACAATTACTGCTCAAGCCAATCAATTACAGCATGACAATTAGTGTCCCTGCAGGCCTTACAGCAGGAAAACACAAAACACACACCACAATATCTCCAAGTAAGAGAGAGACAAAGGGCAAAGCAGACTAAAGGAGAATTGGGTAAGCAAGGAAAGACAGAGAGAAAAGAAAATAGAGAGAAATAAAATATGTAAACAGAGCCAGGGAGGGCAGATTAAAAGATTAAGAATTTACATAAAAAAAGCAAAACCATCAGAAGGCCTGAGGTAGGAGAGAGCACATCTCCCCTGTACTGGCCTCTTTCATTAGTTACCAAGTTTTTTTTTGTTTTTTTTGAAGCACTGCATGGACTTGCCCAAGGTTACATCTCTGAACTGCTCCTCCCCTATTCCACCTCTAGACCTCTCACACCTGCCGACCAGTCACTGCTCTCCATTCCACACAGCCAGTTAAATACCAAAGGTGATCGAATATTTGCGTTAATTTTTGGAATAGTTGGCGACTAACAATAAGGCCTTCCCCTCTTCACTGATATCCTTCAAACCTGTTTAAAGACCCATATCTTTTCTTTAAACTCTTAACTGTCATCATGAAGACCTGTCTGAGCCAAACTCTGGCTTTTATTTGTTTGTATTTTACTTGCTGTTTGTGTTATGATTGAATCCAGATATTCTACGCTTTCATCAATCCTCTAATTTATATCCCTAATTTTATTTGATCAGTCCTGCGTCTTTGTTCAACTGTAATCATCAATGAAATAATCCTATAATCTCTCTGTAAAGCACTTCGATCGATGTTTTTAAATGTGCTCTATAAATACATTTTATAGAGAGAGATCAGCATGCAGCCTCACAGCGTCCTGCTGAGGCCTTTCCTAAACAACATTTTGAAAGCTATGACTCATGGTAACTTACGTCATCGTCCATGTCGTCTTCAGGCAAGGAGTCTTCCTTGGAGTCGGAGTTCATGTTGGGGTCGTAAGTCAGGCTCCTCCCGTTACAGTCGCCGTACTCTGCTATTATTGAAGGCAAGAGAGTGGACGCCTGCAGCAGCTCCAAGGACCCAGGCCGTAATCTGTTGTTTCCCCCAGCCTCCCCCTTGTCTTCCCTGCCGTCTTCCTCCTCTCCTCCCTCCCCGGACAACAGGCTCTCCCTCTCTCCGCTGGTGTCTCGCCTTTTGAGGCTCGGCGCTCTTCCCAGGCTGTTCCAGCTGGAGCGGCGGCTTCCCCATGAGCTCCCAGTCCCACGCGGAGGAAGAGGGGAGCGGTGGCCGGGACTTGAGAGGCCCTGGAGAAAACAGGAAATAGGGGTGAGCACAGCGTCTGGCTATGACAAAGAATGCCTCATTTGCTGGAGTTACAGTAGTTTCTAAATGGCGACCTAGCCATTTTGGGGAAAAGACCATTATCAAAAGCCATATAATATTTTCCAGAGGGCTCCACATTGTCCAGACAGGAATGAATCGTAGCCAAGGCATAGGCAAGAACTTCCAGATAATACAATATCGATAAATAAAAAGTTCATTAGTCATGTAGAAATGGGACTCTTCCAAGCAGCATTAAGCGAATCGATGCGTCTGCCATGGTAGTGGACTGAATTGATTTCCGGGGCACCGGCAGATTTAGACATTTAAAGGGAACGGGATGTTATGTCTACACATCTGATTCCTGAAGTAGAGAAACAAAGTTCGCTCCGCAGCTGGATTCACTAGGGGGGCAGCTATTGAACTGCAGTATGAATGTGACGCTCTAACTTTTTAGATACTATTCCTCTACGGGAACTGGAATGTCACACTTATCAAACTGTATATATTACACAATTCTCTTTAAATATATACTTTATATGGCACCTGCATTTATTAATGACTAATTGTTGGTTCGTAAATAGACTGATAAACAGATTTAGAGTCCATTTTTTCCTTTAGTGTTTGATAAAACTCACTAGAGAACGCTGATCGTAGGCTAAAGGGTCCATGGAGGTGGAGCTTCCACGGCGAGACTCTGCATGATCAGTTCCCGCCTCAGAAAGCCCCAGCCCCGCCTCGCCGTATCGAGGCACACCCTCTCCATACACGAGCTCCTCCCCAAGGATGGATTCAGGTCCCAGAGAGCTCTTCGGAGTGGGCATGGGCGTGGCTGCCGTTCGCATGATTATAGGAGGAGCCATCGAGCCGCGAGGGTCAACGTGACCGTTAGCTGTCATCATCAGGGAGTACATCTTTAGCTCTGTGTAGGAGTAGAAGGGATGGATATCTATGTTTATTCATTTATAAACAGTTTGTATGTAAAAAAAAAAAAAAAAAACAACACATAATGAAATAAACTGAATCAATCATCTGTCATTTAACCCACCGGTGTCTCTGAGCTGTTCTACCTTCTCGTCCTCTTCAGAGTTGTCTGATTTCTTCTCATCATCTGACTCCGACCGATTAGCATCACCCTATAGTGCGTGCGCACACACACACACACACACACACACACACACACAAACAAACACATTTTTTTCTGTAAATTTTTAAAGTTAAGCATCATGCAGAAGATTACAGGTGCTATTTTTTTTAATCAAGGCACTGAGAGCAAGCACACAGATGTGCACTGCTTTCAGTGCTCAGAGGAGATTGTTCATGGATGATGAGGCACTGTGCACCTGAGGTACATATGATAACAGGGCTGGATGAGGAAGAATTGATTATCTGAAATGATCAGTGGGTGTGTTAGGGACTGGTAATAATCTTCATCCTCTTGGTCCAGATATGAGGCCCTCAGATTGCTCCATTAGTAGTCAATTAACAGAAAGTGACATGAATACACATGGCTGAGAGTTGCTGTTAAGAATTAGACAATAGTCTTTACTCTGCTCTTTTGGAATTAGGGCCATATTGGGAATAAATCTACTTTTCTGTGCATTTACATGTGTCTAATGATTGGAGGATGTTTAATTTGAAACAAGTCTGCAAAAGATGAATAAAAAGAATCTGAAGGAAGTCTATGGGCATATTCTTTCAACAACTTATGTGACAAAAAGCACAGAAAATATGCACGACCATACGCAGTGCTGACCAGATCAAAGTGGTGGAAGCATTAAACAATATGAATCCTGACAACAGATTTACACTGTGCCACTAGACTGCCAGTGATACTTCATCTCCCCAAGATACCAAAAAATCAAAAAATGTGAAAATCTCACTGAAAAAGAAAAGAATTCTTAGTGTGGTACGATCAGAGAAACTCTCGAGCCTTACATCTTAAAATACATCTCATTTAAAAAAGACAAGACGTAAAAAAGTAAGAGAATTAAACGGCTTTTATCTTATTCTTTGCGCTCAGAGCTTTAAAGTTGCACGTTGAAAAATAATGACAAGTGTAAAAATAGACACTGAACCAAATACATATAATAATAATAATAATAATAATAATAATAATAATAATAATAATAATAATAAGTCATTCTCACCTCAGCCTGGAAGCCCTCAACCAAGATGGCCACTAGTAAATTGAAAAGCACATAGTTGCCAAATGTCATGAGAGCAACAAAGTAGAGAGCCGCCCATGGAGAGGTAGAGGCCATGCCGTTATACAACACCACATTCCAGTCCTCCTGGGTGAGAATCTACAGATTGAATAAAACACAATGGTGCAAACAGAGATTAGGCAGAAATAAGGTAGGAGCGGAGGGGGAGAGATGGATGGAGGCAGAAATAGAGAGGGGCAGAGGGAATAGGAGGCTCAGAGACATATAATTATTTTGAGAAAGAGAGTAAGGGTCCACAGATGTTAAGACATTGGGGGGGTGGGGGGTGGGGGGGTAAAAGGGGAGGCACAGAAATAGAGAGAAAAAGGAACACAGATGGAAGGTAATGAAAGAAAGAGAGCAATATTAGCCTTTACAGTGCTTGGGGGTTATATATGCTTTTATAAAACCAGGTAGTGAGCTACTTCTATTGCCATCACGCTACAATGCTTCAACTTCATACTCATGGGTCTGTGTGTGTGTGTGTGTGTGTGTGTGTGTGCGCCCGTGTTTGTTTAGTCACAATATGAGTGATGAAAACATTTCAAAACTAGGACGGTGTTCATGATGCAGCATGAAAGCTCACTCCGTCACTGCCCGCTCCTTTAAAACGCCGTGGCAGGAAGGCAATCCATTGTGCTGTCTGTGTGAATGTGTGTATGTGCATATGCATGTGAGCATAGATTTGTGTGCACTGTAACTACTCTCCAAAAAAAAAGAAAAAAAAACTATAGTAAGTGTATAGTGAGTGTTACTTCTTCACATGACAGTCAGTTCTGGATAAAACGCTTCTTCAGCATCTCTCTTGTACAAAAACAAACACACACACACAAACACACACACACACACACACCAAAGTGAGACAGTCCGCTGCATTCTGTGTTCTACCTTTCTGCTGACACATCCACTATAGAAAAGAGGGCAATCTATCTGGAGCGATTGGACAATATCTCCACATAGGGGAGAGCAAAAAATAGAAATAATAGTGAAGGAGAGATGGTGGGTGTGCATAAGCAGAATTTCACATTTCACAGCATTTTACTAATGAGCAGAACTTGGCAGTTAAGTTTGGCACACACACACACACGCAAACACAAACACAAACACAAACACACACATACACATAACCACACTCAGGGCTCAGTTTGACATTTTGGTTTGGGATGGGAGAGTAGCACACATGGTCTCTGTTGGGATAAAAATATAAGTGAACACACTGCCCAGTGTGTGTCTTGGAAGTATATTGCACTAAGGACATGATGCCCTGGCTGCCATTTTTGACCACTTTTTCTGACTCAATATGGTTTTAATAAGAAACAGTAAGGAGCATGTTTGAGCTCTCATTTTGGAGGGAAGCCGGTCACATATCTGTCTCGCTGCAGAAAAGCTTTTCAGCTGATGTTTACATGAATGACAGCGAGGAAGATTACCTGTCCAGCTTTATGTACTGCAAGTCTGAATACAGTGCAGGGGCGGCCCACTGGTATGAATATTTTGAACACATTTTCTCTGACAAGTTGGTGTTTATAGAAGTGTTAAACATCCATGATTCACTCAGAAAGAATACCCAATGCAGTTGAACTGCAAATAGACAAACCAGAGATATTAAACAAAACAACAGATTATATTGATGATACATGACAAAAACTAAGTAAACATTTCCATTAAAGGAATAGTTGGGGGAATACACTTTGCTCTCTTTTAAAGAGTTAGATGAGAAGATCGATGCCACTCTCAACCTTGTCATCACTGTGAGGTTGCCGGCAAACCAGCAGCGAGGAAGAAAGAGAACAAGTAACCCAGCCCAGGCAAGAAATAGTCCAGTATATAACCGCCCATAAAACCACAACTTGTGGTTTTTACACTTTTTTGTATACATGTTAATTAGTGAGATTTAAAGGTGCTGGTATGAGGATTTACCTTGTTACCTTAGGACAGAACCGGGCTAGCTGTTATCCTGTTTCCAGTCTTTATGCTATGCTAAGCTAAGCTAACCTGCAGCCGGTGGTAGCTGCATAATTACTGTTTATACGTCTTCTAATCACTCCACAGGAAAGCAAATAAGCGTATTACCCAAAATGTCAGACTATTCCTTTAAAATCTGTGAAAGTTCACTTTCGGCGAATGACGATGACCAAGAAAAAAGCTGAGAGAGCAATCTGTGAACAATGGCCAACAAAGACTAAAACTAACAGCGGCATTTTTATTGCAATCCAAATGGGAAAACAGTGGTAATCTCTTAATTATGGAGACAAGAATTTACCTGGAAAACAGTGACGATGGCCCAGAGTAAAGAGTCAAAGTTCTTGCGGTCAGGGATTGTGTCTCCATTGTCCATTTGGAGACTGAATTTACAACCAAACAGATGCATACCCAGTATACTGCAGAGAAATAAGAAAGAGCATACTTTATGATTTACATGTATGCTTTTTGTGTGTAATAATATTTCCATACAGTACAATATGTACATTTTCTGTGACAGACATATCTGAAGATAGACCGGGTTAGGAAGGTTATGTGCGTAATATGTGCATACCTGAAAGTGAAGATGAAAAGCATCAGCAACATGCAGAAGGTGGCCACATTGTCCATGGTCTTCATCAGCACTACCAGTTGTCTCCTCAGGGCGGGCAGGAAGCGAACCAGCTTCAGAACCCGCAGCAGGCGAAATGTGCGCAGGACCGACAGGCCGCCGTCCGACTGACCGATTATTTCCCACACGCTGAGAACCACAAACAAACACATTTGTCTTAAAATGTTGCTGGACATTTTAAAAGTTGGAGCTTGCATCTGGTCTCTTCTGTTATACAGGTATGAGTCATATATACATGTTGGAAAACAGATGTATTCAGTCCAATTCAATCTAACATTTTATTATATTACTAGAATTTATTATATAAAATGTCAGCATTACAATACGCAACATATATTTTGTGTTGAAGAGGCTCACTAGGAGTAAATCTCTAGAGTTTATCAAAGTAATCCCCCTTCAGTAACACGACCGCACATTTCAAAAAGTCCCCTGATCCGATATGAGCTCTATCAAATTAATGACAGCCAGACAGCGAACCTCCACTCCCGACAGGATCGAGAATCTGCTGTGGCAGCGAGCGAAGCTGCTCCTGTGCGATCCATCATGACTGTGTCAATCTTAGCTCCTGCAAAGATGGATGCTGCGGCAGTGAACCTGACACTCGACACTTAGAGACTGACAAGCTGGAGAAGAAATAAGAACGGGGGGGGGGGGCTCTAAATTGAAGCTGATCTGACACATGGTTTATGTGTCTATGCATCCAATGGTTGTTACCTGGATTCATTGTAGGAGCACTGAATTACTGCTACAGCTCTAATAGGTGTCACCCATCTTTATAGTTTGCCTTCAGGTTCACTGTTGAAAGATTGTTTGCACATATGAGTACGGGTTGATGAATATTACCTGATGATAACGATGATGCTATCGAAGATGTTGTACGGGTTCCTGATGTATCCAAACAAGCCGAAAGCCAGGAGCATGAAGCCCATCTCCAAGACAAACATACTGGTAAAGACTATGTTACTGATCTCTAACACGTCAGTAAGCTCCTCAGGCTGGAGGGATAGAAGAGAGAGAGAAAGCAAGAGAGAGAACAGAGATTAGGTTAAAAAAAAAAAAAGACACAAAGAAAAGAAGAAGAAAGAAAAGAGGAAAGAAAGAACAAGTCAGTTAATATCTCCCCCTCATTATCCCAGAGCTGTAAAACCCGTTTGGTCTTTGTGCCCTGAGCTGGGACATTATCAATCAAGTTCAGAGCTGCAGTCAAGGCCAATCAATCAAATGGGACCAACAGCCCCCATCTATTACTGCTGATCCATTCCACTTACCTCAAAGTACAGTCAGTGATCCAGCACAGATTTAACTGAGAGCCCCTCATAAAGCATGTAGTCAAGTCTTTTGTGGAAAATGCAGCAAATTTTGTGCTCTGGCGAACGTATCCCAGAGCCACATCCATAACTTTTTTGCAGTTTGAGCTGAATCACTGATCTAAATATACTAAATATGTTTAAAAGATGTGACGCAGACTCTACCTACTCTTTCCAAATGTATCACACGTCAATACCCATCCATGAGACCTATAGCTTGCTTGAAGAGAAGGGCTGGGACTGTGTCTCATATCACCCTCCTGCTCTCACACTAAATCCTCTTGAAAGTGTCCCAACACGCCTCGTGGCTTACATAATATTCTCATTTCCCTCCTATGCTTCATATTCCATTACTCTTTTACACAGTATCATTATTCCTTGATAACAAACTTAGTGCAGTACAGGATTCACACCTAATGAATAATTATGATCCCCAGGTGACTGAATCCTTCTAAACAATAAATTCTTACACTGTATTCTTCCGAACAGTTTTTAAAAAACATAAGTCTCTGCTCCACAATTTAATTCTCGTGTCACGCTAGGCGGACTAATTAAAACTAATTGGGATTCTTTTCATGTGGGAGATCAACAAGAAACAGGCCCAAAGCCCATTTTGTATCCTGGCCCATGGTGTATAAAAGTAGGCAGACCATATTCTGGACTAATAAACACACTGACATGATTAATGTATAAAATCCCAGACATACTGCTACGACCACAGGTTGGATTTAACCTTCATTCTGGGTTATTGCGCTCTATCAGCGTTCTGCAGAAACAGTGTTGCCTTTGAATTCACTGTAATCTGCAGACTGATGAAGCTGGAATCATTCATCATATGAAAGTACACCATATGAAAAGTCTGCACCATCTCTCGTTTAATGTCAAAATGAAAATGTAATCATCCATATGTATGATCGTGATCTCATATCATATTTATGATTCCTTCAGTTTGCACAATCAAAGTCTTATATAACTATACATTCTGATTGAAATCACAATTTCACACTCGGGACACCGGCGCCTCTGCTGAGGCACAGCTGAGGATCATGATAATGATCAAAGATAGAGGGCGCCATACTACACAGCACTCCTCACCTCACCTCACTCCACCCCAAACACACACACACACACACACACACACACACACACACACACACACACACACACACACATACACACAAAAACAGAGCTTCCTTTGAAGAACCACAGACTTTTTACAGTCACCTTTCAAGACTCGAAAGTGGAAAGTAACTATATATATATTTCCTGAAGTACAGTACTTCAGCACATTTTTGAGGTATTTTTTACTTGATTTTATATGTTATTGCCTTTTAAGTAGATATTTTTGCTAATTCTTAACTTAATCAAAATTTTGAATGCAAACTTTTACAGCCATTGCTGTATGTGGAGCACACCTACAGTGCAGTACAGGGTTGTGTAATCCAAAGCACACCACATCTCTATTTTTTGTATGTTTACTATTTTCGGCTGATGAGCCTCCGGATTAATTGGGACAGTCGTGCAGCAGACACGCCTGTGCAGAAATAAAAGGACACAGATGTGATGACAGGGGACTGGAGTGCGAGCCGGACAGACAATATAGAGACTGGTCATTTCACCGAGTAGCCAGGTGGCACGTAAAAACTTTAAAGCACTTCGAAGAAGCTTTAAAGGAGCTCTCAGCCTGCTGTTCTATCTTAAACACACCATATATAGTAGTAGTTAACAGTGGACTAGTGGTATTTTCATGACCTCTATGGCCCACTGTCTTCACAGCAGAGAAATGAAGCAGCATACACGACAGCTGTTATGCCTCATAGAATCACTAATTTATATTTACTTACTGCTTTACAGTATGGCTGACATGGTAGATTGAAACAACACAAAATAAAATACAAAAACCTAAGAGTTGCTGGTTTGAAGTGCTAATTAACTCAAGGAGCTGGGGCTGAAACTGAATTCTGGTTCTTGTTCTGGCTGATGCCTGACACGTTGGGAAGAGGCAGGAGCCACATTAGGGGTTACAGAAGCAGGTGCTATTCAGATCACGGGGGCCAACCTGAAAAATGCGGGTGGGCAAAATGAAAGGAAACACTCTTCCTTACATTAATTCATCTGATCAAGGTGCCCTTGAGTTGCTACCTCATCTCATTTGTAGTAGGAGATCTGGACTGCAATGATCATCAGTAACTAAGTGGTTCTAAAATCAGCTCTTAACCATATGGTCAATATACTTTATGTACTCTGCTGTTGTCCCCAACGAATATTAAAAACTTTAGGCTTTCCACTACCATCATCAAGTTTGATAGACCAGGTGATCGATCAGAATTAAACGCTCCGCCTCTGCTCTCAACAAGACATTTTCCGTGTTTGTGTACGTGAATACAGCTCAGCATATGACCTTGCCCTTAAGAATATGAGGAAAGAAACTACAGCAGAGACAGAGAGTTGCACACTCACTCACAAACACACATAAACACACATACACATAAACACAGCTTCCCTGGCAAAGCAGAGTAGAGGAACAACCTTGAGTGTTAAGCGGGACACTGGCGTAAATAAAAACAATCCTGAGAGACACTGTAATAATGTTGAATTGATCAAATTGTATATCTTAGCATATATTTGCATAGAGCACATCAAACTATAAATGGAGGAATCTGTCTTTCCTTCTGGCTGTCTGTCCTTCAATTTTCTTGACAACCGCATATCTGATCGACTTCAAACTTCCTGAGTGCATTGCTAAGGACCAAAGGAAGTGCAGCAGCGACTGTGAGGTTTTTGGGATGGGCAGTTCTCGATAGACATAAAAAGAGAAACTACATCCACGTAACTGACGTCACCGATTATGAAAGATGTGTGGTAAAGACGGCTGCGCCAGGTCGAAGCATGCGAGCTGCAGCTACAAAACCTGTGCGGGATCATCCGAAGCGTGGGAATATTTTAGACAGAGACCCAAGCTCTGCAAATTGGAAATGGCTTCTCACAGCAGTGCAAACAGCTAAGCACGGTCACTCGAAGCCAAAGCATCCCCGAGCGCTTTGTTGAAGACGAAGCAACAGCAAGACAGCACAGTTCTGTTTACTTTTTTCTCCCCAGCCGAGCATGATATATGAGGATTATTAACAGGCAGAACAAGTCATTTATGCACCGCTGCTGTTACGGTCATGTAACATTTTACCATGCGTCATCTGACATTGTTATTCGGCCGTTGTATATTTTCTGTTTCCTTTAACGACCATGTATGACTGAGAAAATTGCTTAAACTAACATTACAGACTGTTGTTACAGTCTAAATCTTTTCAAATATTTTCCTTGCTGATGCAAAAATACATTTGCCAGTGATTTCTTTAACCTTCTTGCATATTACTCCACTGATGAAATAAATCCATGTCATACCCAATTTAAGTTTGAAGTCAAGTTCTTCAGTAAAAAATACAGATTCTCCAGTTCAGGGAAAGGGTTGCTATGACACACAAGCAACTAAATTAATCTGCACTTACATGCCAATTTATTAGGTCCAGCTAGATAAAACGAATGCAGTATAATACAACAGGCCTGCAATAAGTCCTCCCTTAATGAGGATTATAACGTTCAGTTTTCATTGAATCTGCTTGAGAGGATGTCGATTTATTTTAATGGTCATTTTGGAGGCTGTAATTCGTGGTGCTCTTGAACACTTTGTCAACCTCAATTCATATAAATGGGATGGACAAAATATTAGGAACACCTCTCAAACAGTCCTCGTTGAGGGTGGATTTATTGCATTACTGAATTACAGCATTAGGTTTTATCTAGGTGTACCTAATAAATTGTGAGTGTATGTGTCACAGCAATCCTTTTGTATTTATGGTCCAGTATTTTCTGGTCAGGTATAATGACGTTTAATAGGGTCTGTTATTATAATTATTAAATTAGATGATGACGATTAGATGATTGGATAAAATATTTAATTACTAACATAACAAACATGTTTTGAACGGGCACTTTATTGGTATTTTTAGAATTAGGGGCGTGATACATACAGCCTCAACAAAATGAGCATTAGACTCTCACACACACACTCACACTGAGGTGTTGTGCTAAATGTTTACTGTGCGATATTCCATCTTAAATCTGTCACACACAAAGAAACTTGAAACCTGCTATTTCTTCTGACGTCTGTTTAGCACACATTTAGAATGAGTGTTGTTGTTGTTGTTGTTGTTGTTGTTGTTGTTGTTGTTGTTGTTGTTGTTGTTGTTGTGGTGTTTGGTGCGTGTGTTCTTTTAAGGTTATGTTCAACCTGCAGGTAAATCTGAATTGTTGCTCAGGTATAATCTCAGGATTTACCGCCCATGCTGTTATTTTGTGATTGATCAAGTTGGACTATGTGTCAGTCGTGGTTAAAACATCCGCACGCAAGGAACAACATCTAGTTGCATTTTCAGAGCCCAGAGTCATGTTTTGATATTGTCACGGCCAATTAGTGATGCTCTTTATGTAACATCAACTGTAATGTCCTGAAGTGTGTGAGGTTAAAGGCAGTTTAGTATCTGATTTGAGTGGCCAGACAATGTGGTTTGAATCAATTTACAGAAAATCAGTTCACATGTGGGTTTTCACTTTCATTGCAGATTTCGATAACAACCATCTATTTTCAATCTGGAATCAGTATAAACAGCCAAAACAAGCATCAATCATCTCCCTCTCTCTCCCTCCATTCGTCTCTTCCTGTCTCTCTACACTCACACAGTCTACACTATACCTCCTACATTCATACACCTCTTCACACACATATACACTCATAGTCTCATAAAGTTTGGCTAGGTGTCACAGAGGGGGGATGATGAGTACTGAGGGGAGGAGGAACTCTTACATAACGCTTCAGTCTGTGTGTGTGTGTGTGTGTGTGTGTGTGTGTGTGTGTTTTATTGGCCCAATAAGGCCATGGCTCTCCCAGTCGCTCCTTATGTTTATACCACAAAGATAGAAATACGCACACACACACACACATACATCCCCTGGAGAGGGAATTAGAGGAGAGGGAGGCAAGGAGAGATGGAGAGAGGAGGGGAGGGAATGGACCGTGTGCATGCACAAGAATCTTCTTTTGGGGTTTTTATCCATTTGCTTTCCTGGTGGGAAATGAAAAAGGTTGTGTGCGTGTGTGAGCATATGAAATATAGTGACTTGGGTGTAAAAACTCGGCAAATGAATGTGTCTGTGCGACCGCACAACTTCTTGTCCCGCGTGTGAGACAGCGGAGGAAGGGAACTGGAAGCGGTATTATTAGGCCGATACATCCCAGATGTTGGCCACACAGGGTAAACTGGAAACATAATCCGGGAGAGTGTGTGACAGTGCCTAGATGGCTATTTGTGTGTGAGTGTGTGAGAAAGAAGGAGAGAGTTACTCCACCCCACCCCCCCCCCTCCGCTATACCCTCATTTCCTCTCATTTAGACTCTCAGAAGGCCAAATGCCATTTTCACACACAAGTACTATTTCTGACAGCCAACACCTCTCATCAAACTGCTTATTTCTCTATTAAGGTCGGTCACAGCCCTCTTAGTTTTGAACCATTGATCTTAACTGCTTAGAGCTTTCATTCACCTGATACAGCGTATATACTCTTACCTGCTCGTGGTACTCTATCCCCATGCTGAGAGTATTGACGAGGATAGCGATCATGATCCCCCGGTTGAAGTATTTACTTTCCACAATCCTCTTCAGTTTTTCCCTGAAGTCTACCCAGGCCCGAACCGCTCCGTTTTTGTACTCCACGACCCCCCGCCGCCTGCTCCGACCTCTTCTACCTCTCAGATCTCCCCCCTGAATGAGTCATTTTAAGTGAGGCAACAAAGGTGAAAATGCTGATTTAAGTGCTGTGTTGATTTTGGATACAGTAACTGAAAATAATCCTTAAAACAACTAGATTTCATTTATTATATCAACTTTGTTTTCATACATCCCTCAACTTACATGCTACATCTTAATATGAATATTTATTTGGCCTCCATCATCAGTGTCATTAATACAAAACCACCACTTCCACAACCTTTATCATCACTGTTTACCATCATCATTAGGGCACCGCCCTCCATTCTTACCTGGGGGAAGTCGTGCAGTCCGTCTGCCTCTCCTCTGCCTCCCTCCAGGTCTCCCAGCTCCAGCTCTAAGGTCTCCAGGCTGCGGGCACACAGAGGGCAGCTGAGCAGCTCCAGGAGCAGAGGGCTGGGCACCATGCCTGCCAGCTGGTACAGCAGCCTCTGGCGACCTGAACGGGGGGGGGGGATGGGTGGAGATGGTCAGCTTTTGCAGAGGGATTGTTCCTAGCACTCTTCATGAGCTGTTCTCATTGTTGTGGTGGTTTGGTTTTATTGAGCAGGACAAACGAGTTGTTTCATTGTCGGAAACTGTGTGTAAATCTAGCTTTGTGATGAAAGTCTGTTTACGCTGGATCCAAGCCAGTGGTACACATTTTAAAGTACAGTTTTTTTTGGGAAGTAATGGTTTCATATCTGTGTTATTATATTATTATCTCAAAGTATTTTATAATTATTTACAAACAATATCATATTAAAGGAGCTATTTGTAAGTGTTGTTGCTACATGGCCAACGTTAGCATTAAGGTAGGACAGATTGTACTGTTTGCAGCCTGAGAGGAAAAACACAGGGCAAGAATGTCTGAAAAACGTCCACTGCAAAGTACTCGCTGCTGCTCATTAAGTTCATTTCTGCGAGGGCAGCATAACTGAAAGAGACTCTTCTCTCATCTGGACTATGTTGGCTTTGGTGGTTTCTTTGACTTGTGTCAAAGAAAAGACTTTATATTTTAAAACATATTGCTACAGTTAAAAAAAAAAAGAAGCACAACAGAACAAGAGAGACAGAGGAATACATGAGTGAGACACCATGGTTTAATGATGAAGCTGGAAGAATATAATGTCAGTGAAATTTTACATGCAGTGGTGAAGGGATGTCCTATCTCAGTAGAGAGCCAAAACAAGTTTGTGCAGTGAGTACTGAGAGCTCGCCCACACCACGAGATCCTGGCTGACTCCTCTCACCCTCTGTTCTCTGACTACATCCTCTCAAAATCAGTATGGAAGAACTGCAAAGCACAGCTGAACACCAACAGAAGCAAAGCATGACTTCTGGAAAACATCAGCTCCTGGAAAAGCAGCTTCAAACGGCACATCATGCCGTTTACAACACTATCTAAAACCTAGAACTAAAAAAAGAATGGTTCTGAGAGTTGTTATCATATTTCATTGTCTTTTAGATTCTCTAACTGCTGTGAGTAAATCTCCATGTCTGCATTTTGATTCCAACTGTTAACAGATTGTTTACATTCTCACAAATTCTGTTAGCAAAAAAAAATATTTGTCTGGCATAAAGGTTATTCAAATTCATCCCAACCCCACATTACATTATATTACATTAGGTTAGATTAGATTACATTTATGCTTCAATTAGATTTGAGATTTGATTGAAAAATATTCCCAAGAACATTGGGAAGAATTTACAGTCTAAAGGGGCGAATCAACCAAAAGACGTGAATCAAACATTACATTACAAGGTTTAGCTGAGACTGAGTCATCAGGCGAAGCTGAAAGGAAAACATTTAGGGACTAAAGATCCAGAAATGACTGACAGTGACTGGAGATGACATTTCCCCATTGTAGCTTTCAATCAGCTGCAAACAATTAAATCACCGTCAATTTAAGTTGATTTGAATGTTGTGATCTTCAACACACATCAATGTATGTGTGTGTGTGTGTGTGTGAGTGTGTGTGTATAGAGTATGTGTGCTGTTGTTGGCAGTCTCACCCTGTTAGAGGTCCCATATTGTAGGAAGTGAGATGTCCATGTCTCTTTGATTATTATTAGCAGGTCTACAGTCAATATTAATTTGTGAAAGTATTAAAGCGCTAAGTTCACAGAGAAATGCACACAGCCTGTATTCAGAAACTGAGCCTACAAACTAGCCATCCAGACTTCTAAAATTGTGTGACATCACAACTATGCAGTCACCGCCCTCAACCAGGCCCCTAACACGGCCCACCTGGACCCACCGCCCAACCTTTCATTTTTGTCCGAATTTGGCCGTCTGTTTGGCCGACTGACCATCTGTATTTGCATTTGCATTTGCCGCTGATTTTTATCGAGCTACAGTAGTAGGCTACAATCCGTTACCTGTGGTTGGCCTGGCCGTGTGTCACTCAGAGAACAGTCAACCAATCAGAGGAGAGGCTCAGAGACTGGCACAAAACACCCTGTTCTTGGTAGAGCTCCAGAGAGAAGCATGAGAGAGGAAGTGTAAAACTGTATCTTCTTATGGATATAGAAAACACCAGGAAATTGTAAAGTATCATCCAGAATAGACAGGTCTATTATACTGCTGCTGCTTTTTCATTTTCCTTTGCAACAAACACAGCTTCATGTTGTCTCCTCTGTGTCTGTTCTGTCCTTTTCTCTCTCTGCCTCATGCCATATCCTGAGCTAACCCTCCTTTTTTCTTCCTCTCCTTCTGCTCTTTCAGCTTTTGCTCTCGATTGATCCAATTTATTTTTCTCTCTGTCTCCCTTTCTCCGCCTCTCCCCCTGAATCTTTCATACATTATGCCTCTCTTCTCAATTTTATCCATTTCTTCTTTCGTTCTTTTTCCACATTTTTCAAAATACCTGTGTTCTGTTTATGTTACTTTACACCAGCTACTCTTCCTCCCTCTGCTGCTCCCCACACACCGTGTTGATTCCCTCAATCCTCCCGTTTATCCACCTCTCTGCGCTAATGATTGTAACACTTGAGACATGGATTTTCTGTCAGGCCTCTCTAAGTGCTGCTTGAGACAACGCACACACACAAAGACAGACACAGCAGACGTAGCCACAGGCTACCTCAGGTCAAAAATGGGGAAGAGGACAAGAGGAACTTGAACAAAGAAAGAACAAGAAACGAAGATGAAAACAGGAGACAAAAGTGAGTGTGATAAAAAAAAAAATGTAGTGGAGCCCAGGGGTAATGTTAAGCAGCTAGTACAGAATCAGAGGAAGAATTAAAGGACAGCGAAACCCATGAAGAAAAAAGGCATAAAAAAAAAATAAAAAAAATTATTCTGAAAACTATTGTTCCAGTATGAAGATCAACAGGACATATTGTGTTTCCTATTTGGTCAAGTTGGTTGCTGTTTGACTTAGGCTCCACTCAGTAGCCTATACTTTGATTTTCTGGCCAGGAAAAGGTTTATGATGATCCCAAACTCCAGACTTCAGGGTGGTTGTACCTCATCATTATGATTAAGTATTATCAAGCTAATGTATTACAAAAGCTAAATTATAATTGTGTATTGTTTGTGTCTGTGTACGATGTGTGTGTCCTCTTACTGTGCTGTCCCATGAGCTGGTAGAGCTTGTTCAGTGTCTCTGTGTGTTCAGACGATGGGTGGTTTGGTGGGTGCTGCTCAGGACTGGGCCTGCACTGCTGGGAGTGAGGTGGTGGCGTCTTACTGCTGTAGCTGCACACAAAAGATGGCAGAATGGTGGGATAGTTCATCCCCCCATTCAGCCGCCCGAGCAAGGCCCCCATGCCATGGGTGACAGCAGACGGGTTGCCGCCACCGCTGCCGTTACTGCCGTCACTGCCGTCACTGTTATTCCCATTTGTACTCCCTCTCCGGACAGGAAGCGACTTCATCTCGAGCTCCTCCCCTCCTCCACTGCCTCCCTCTCTGTCTATGTGCTCAGCGGTTCCCACACTGACGGTGTGCTGCCCCCCGTTGCTGAGGCGACAGTGCTGGTGCTGATGGTGCTGCAGAAGGTTGTGGATCGGCCTCAGCCACAATGCGCTATTCGGGCCCGAGGCTCCGCAGCCCCTGCTGGAACCGTGGCCGTGTCCATTACCCCCGCCGTTACTTCCTCCGCCACTGCCATTAGGATTCACCTTTTTACGCCGTTTACTGGTCAAAGGACAAGAGACATGAACATGGACAGAGGAGGTTTTACTTCCAGGAGTGTGCTTTTAGGTGTTTGCATCTGAATGCATCTCTATGGATGTGGTTCTCAGTGATTTTGGGGGCTGTGAGATGCACAATTACCAAAGCCCGCTAAATTAAATGCTCATAACAAAACACATTTTATTTGCCCCGTATGACTCATGAAGTGTTGCAAATAGACACAAGAGGACCAGCAAAGACTGAACTGCTGGGCAAAGCCATGATTAATTTAACCTGGGGAAAATGTGTGATTATAATTTCAATAAAGGGAAATCTCTTTTCAGAATATTATAGAAAATCATCAAGCATGCGTGAAATGGGTCGAGTTGCTAATGTCCACAGCAGCAGGGGTAAGGACATAAAAGAAAAAGGGTGCTGCCGATTTCTGAGGGTAAAGTGGAAGTGGAACAAGCACAACATTTACTCCTGATGCTTTAGGTAATTTAAAGCTTTTCATTTTAATTACCATTGTAGCCTTTTGGAAATTTTTGACTTAATTGTATGTCACATATTTAGGTGGGTTTGAATGTCCAACCTGTGCCATCCGGAGTATATCCTCTGCAGCCTGCGCGTAAACTTGCGATAAAGGTGACTGATGTAGCGCAGCATCTCCTCGTAGCATGAGCCTGGTTCGCTGTAGCTGGCGAGCGTGGAGTCGTTGGACATGTAGCGTGCGCGCTGCTCCCTCATCAGGGCGTTCTCTCTTTGCTTTGTCTCAGAGAACTGGGTGGCGATGACCACGAGGCACAAGTTGATCATGAAGAAAGAGCCCACCTGGTTGGAGAGGTAAAGGACAGCTGAAGTGATAAAACTCAATTCAGCTTTGCGATGATACATGAGCAGCTGTGTTAACTGTGTTAACAGAAAATCAACACTGGCTACTTCATCAATTTATCAATACCCCCCCCCCAATAAGACGCTGTGTCAAAGAGAAGCATTAAGATGCAGCCTCTTTGGCCAGATCCTGAGGTGATAAAACTTACTTAGAGAATATGAGTTTTAAATTATTCTCTGATAAAGTGGCCTTAACAGGAAGTTAGAAATATCTATGGAATCTACAGTATCATGAAATGTCTATCCAACGTTTCATTACTGTGTTATTGAAAAAGTGACAGGAAATTAGACAAGCACTCTCTCCATCTTTCTAAAAAATCCTTTTCTCTGACATTGTCATTTATCTTCATTTCTGTCTCACTCACTTTCTATTTGAATCACTATGCTTTTCTTTCATTCCTTTCTCCAGCCACTTTTCTCTCTCTCTCTCTTTTTCTCTCTCTCTCTGACCCCTTGTTCGCTTTACCCCAATTTCTTTTCCTCCCTCTCTGCCTCTGAATGCATAATAAGCACTTTTACATCAAACGACAGGCGGGCAGGGAGCTCATGCAGCATTGTAGAATACAGCCTAAGCTGGGATCTTTGTAAACCCACACAACAGCATGATAAGAGTGAAATTATACACGATAAGACGTCTACAAGGTCCGACAGAAGGGGAGTTCTGCTCCGAGCAGAATTTAGTGCTTAACTTTAGAAAGGTTATTCTGGGTTTTCTAAAGCAGAGCTGAAACACAAATACACGAAAATAATAACACGTTATCCATATGTATATTTGTTGAGCATTCAAAAGACAATATTGCAAACGGTGCAGTGCTGTATCAAGAGAAGCAGGATTGAAGAAATGTGTATTTCAGGTAGAGCTGGGTTCAGAGATGTTCTGTTGCTAAATACTGTCCGGTTTTAATCAAGTGGGTTATGATCTTAATTGTCTTTTTATGTCTAGATGAAAGCTTGTATAACGGTGTGTTAAGTATAATGATATACAGCACATATCTTTATATTCTGAACCACTTTCCACTTGTAATTCATGAGTGAAACTAGAATCTACAATTGGCTGTTACGCCATCAAAAAGCCACATTGTTTTAGAAAACTACAGCAAGCCAGGATTACACTGAAAAACTCAGCTGCACCGGGTTTGGGCTCATTAAATACTGAAGTGGTTTTAGCTTGGGCCCGTTTCAAACAAGACTCATGTCTTATCACCGTCAAATATCAGAAAAGGTTAACTAAATAAAAAATAAATACGAGGTGGTACTTACAATAATGAGCAGTATAAAATATATAAAATTGTAGAAGGAGTGTGCATCCATGACATAGTACATGATATCTACCCATCCTTCTAGTGTGATGACCTGGTGGTAGAAGCAAAAAGACAGAGAGACAAAACATGTGTGAACAGGAAAAGTAGAAAAAAAAAAAAAACATTTCATTGCTGTTTCTCCAAAAACGTAGGACAAACATAAGACACCCATGCATGCACTGAATTGCGCTCACAGAATATTTAAAGTACACAACAGTCAAATGGACTATATTTCCAATTCTGTTTTTAATGGCTGTTCCTCAGAAAGAAACTTGTGGCATCCCCCCAGCCTCTTAAAAGTATGTGTGTGTATATGTGTGTGTGCACATATCTTTCTATGGTTGTGTGGACAAATTTTGGTCAGAAGCCATCATTATGAGGACATGTGAGGACATCACATCCTCACAACTTCAAAGGGCTGTTTGATGGTTGAGACTTGGTGTTAAGGTCCATGATAAGATTAAGTTTAGGTTACAGTTAAGTGTTTATTTGTGATGGTTAAGGGTAAGGGGCTAGGGACTGCATTACGTTGACGAATGTCCTCACAACTGTAGAAAGGCCAACGTGTGTATTTCGTGTGTGTGTGTATGTGTATGTGTGTGCGCACCAGGGGACTGACGCAGCTCTTTCATGTAGCCACGATGCTAATGAGCAGTTGAGATGCTAAGACATGAAAGCGGTGGCTCAGCTCAGCCAAACAGATAATACGCTCACACCTCGACGTTAACACCTCAGCAAGCATAGCACATTACAGCACAGGCTGCCAGAGCGCGCGCGCGCGCACACACACACACCCACACACACACACACACACACACACACACACGGCTTGAGTACATATATACACTGAACAAAAACACACCTGCCAACAGGGACATGCATGCATACCTTTGTATGGATAAAAGTTACACACACATGTACCATAAAAACACATATGTATAATACGCACACACATACACCCGCAATTCCAGAGACAAGTAATCCGCTTTTTTCTGGAACACTACTTGCACCTGATTAATAAAAAGCGCCAAACATTCTCATTTATGAGCTAAAACAAAACCAATGTGCATCTTTTTATTCTATAGAAAACAAAGCAAACGCATCACACAAACAAACACACCTGTACACACTCATCGCTCATGCATTGAATGAATCGAGAATTGCAATAAAAGTAAGTCTTCTTTATTAAAAATGAAAGAAAAGACAATTCATTAAGAAGCGTCAACTCTCGAGCAAATGTGACCATCTTGTAAGAGTCAGTGATATCTGTGTGAAGGAAAAGAGGAGATTCTCAGTTGACACTAGTGATTTAAGAGAAGAGACGGTGGCAATAAGCTGAACAAATCACTAGCTCACCCCCCAGGCTCACCCCCCATCCTCTGCTCCTGACCCGCCCTGAAGATCAGAGGAAGCTACCAAAAGCATTCAGTCTTGTAATCCATGCTAATGACATGCATGTGGAGCAGAGAGCACGCTCTCAGGTGTCGTTGGTGAATGACTCATCCAACACATTGTTCTTGAACACTAATGGACCGTCTGCCAGAGCACGTGTGTGTCTGTTCGTGTACAGGGTCAGCAGTCATTAACCAGGAGGCTGATAGAAACATTGGCCTGATAACCCTCAGATGCCTTTGCTCTTGTAGTCATTCTTTATTGCTCCTCTCTACCTCTTCATGTGTCATTCCTTTCTCTTTCTCACTGTTTCTTCTCTTACATTTTTATTATTCCGTTACGCTCAGCCTTGATTTTCTCTGTTAACTGTGTGTGTCAGGACTGGGTTTGAGTGACAGTCTACATCCTCCCGTAAAATCGATTGTTATCACTTGCAGTACATAATGAATTCCAGTCCGGCAGTCAAGAAAAAAAAAAAAGAGAAAAACCCAAACAAATAAACTAGCAAATGATGTGAATGCTCAAATGAATCAGAAACCTCAGGAAGCCAGTGAAGATGTTTCAATTTACCATCTTTGCTGGGTCTAAAACACAAACCCTGACCCTAAACAAACCTGGATACAGCTGGCTACATCTCCAAAGACCCAAACTGAAGATACCTCTAAGGTCAACAAAGGAATCAACAAGGGAAGCTGTCACAGTGTATTTTTGTGTATTGCCCAACCCTTGTTGGGAACCAATTAAGCCACAGGCTTGGTTGCGGTGGGTACCCAACATGACATGTTAACAGCTTGTACTCGGCAGCAGTCCCAGGGTAACCCTGAATTAACTCAATTTGGAGCCCAGGGCTGAAATGTTTTCAAAAGCCTGCATTGAAATGTATAATTCATGTTCTTTATATTTACAGATACTGAGGGAATAAAACTGTAGACTGGAATAACAAGCCGAGTACCTCATTTAACATCCAACGTTCTTTCTATCTCTCCCCGTCTGTGTCTGCATCGCCGTCACTTTTCTTTTCCTGTTCCATCTTTAACTCTTTCTATCCATGTTTCCATGTCAACAAATACTCAGAAAAAATGATCAAAATGCAATAACATTTCATACAAAGATTTTTTGAAATTGTGAGCAATCTACACAAAACAAAAAAACAAAACAATGCCCTTTTAGAGGATAGATAAAGTATCTATCTATCTATCTATCTATCTATCTATCTATCTATCTATCTATCTATCAAATTCTCACCACTTGCTTGCAACATATTTAAATAGAACTCTGCCAACTGTATCCCTCCTTTTCTATGCATGTTGAGAGTCTGACAGAACCAAATCATACAAACTTCTGATCTGAGCTTCAGTTTATCATGTTACACAACTGCACCAGTGTGACAGCTGCAACAGATTAAAAAAGGTCTTTATATATTAAAACAGAAATTAGAGGTTTGTGGCCGCACACTGCGAGTAAACAGCTGCCGTGAGACCTACACACACACAGATTACAGATCACACACCTGGATAGAAAATGAATCTCATCCAAGACTCAACGTGATGTTTGCTAAACCATCTCAAGAGAAAAAGAAATAAGAGAAATCAAATCTTTAAAGCCTCTGACTGTGAGCTGAGCCCCCCCACACACACAAACACACACACACACACACACACACACACACACACACACACACACACACACACACACACACACACACACACACACACTCTTAAACTGAAAAGTTGTGAGTACCTAGCAGGGATTAGTACGTTTGTTTGTGTGTGTGTGTGTGTGTGTGTGTGTGTGTGTGTGTGTGTGTGTGTGTATATGTATGTATTCAGTATTTGTGCTGTCTGAGGTAATTTGTAGGTAAGACTCTTTGAGAAAGTCATGTTGTGCAAGTCAAAGCCCATTACGCACAGAGACAGATCTATCAGTGGGTCCTGGACAGATCTATTAGAAGGGCTGGAATTCATATCACAACAGTGCAGACAGTGTTCGCACAAAGACTCTGAGAGGAAAAAAGCCTGTCACGGTCTCCAAGGGAGCTGGAATCAGCAAGAGAGGGAAAAGAAAAATACATTTTCACAGCCAGCGTGTGGAGAAGAAGGGGCTTTCAGGTCATGATACATGTCCTCTGATGGCTTAAGTAAGACAGGATGACTTTGAAATTTCAAAACACCGGGGATATTCACTTGCTAACTAAAAAGTGGGAAAAAAAGTAGCCATGTTTTATCTTCCACATCCAAACCTGCACTTTTTCCCTGCTTACCTGGAATATGGCTATCCAGGCGTAGCCAATGTTGTCAAAGTTGACAGCTCCCTTGTGAGGGTTGAGGTCCCCGGAATGACACACATTATAGTACTGGTTCCAGTTAACGCAGCCATTAACACTAGCCCCTCCCACCACAGGGGTTGATCCAATCAGAGCTGAACTCTGGTGGGGCGCGGCCAGTGAACACTCCACCCCGCCCTCGGTGTATGGCGGCACATTGTGGCAACGCAGCATCCCGTTCTCGCGAGGGGCCGAGCAGATAAACGGGCTGTCTTCACCTTCCTCCGACATATAGTAAGAGCTTATGGACAAGTTGTACATTCTGGATAGAGAAAGAATAATAACACATGTGTAAGACACAAAACTGTGGCATCACAATAAATTACTATAAGATGTTATTTACATACTGCTGATTTCCTTTTGTTCTAATTGTAGCCAAAGCTGCAGTTTTTTATTTTGCAGGAGCTTGAGTAGTGGCTTATGTCTTTTATAATCCCTATAAACAAATCTCTAAAATCTAATCCTTTTTATTTAATCCTTTTTTTTTTTTTTTTTTACATAAAAACTGTCTCTCCCTAGTTGATTCTCTTCATCAATAAATTTTACTTTATAGAGGGAAGTCCACAGTTGGGCTTAATCTCATTTTGGCCACTACATCCTCGTCCTATCCACTCCACCGCCAGTGAAAGTCAACAACCAAACCCTCCAACAATGAGTCTGCAATAGTGTTTACTACTCGAGCCAAAAATGGAGGAATATCTTTTAAGTGAGTCAAATGTGGTTTTGTTCATGCTGCATACTTCCTATATTGTCCTTTCAGGATGCAGTTTAACAAGCATCACTTGATATGTAAAAAAAAAAAAAGAAACAGAAACCATTACTTTGTCCCTTAATTCAGCTCAGAGAACAAGGCATCAAGCAGTATCCATGGTGACAGCTGTTTCCTATTTACGGTAGAGAGTGGTGAATGCGTCCCACAGTTTACCTGCTTATCTATATTCTCCCCCTTATAGTGGAGAGCCCTCCACCACAGTGAGTGCCTTTTTCTGCAGAGTGACATTTGCTCTTCAAGTGCAGGTGCAGAGGGACCAGTTTAGTAAAGGGTCTAACACTTTGCTGCTGCCTGCTGCTGTATTCCTATAGAGTTCCAGTCATTCCTGCTATATTTTTTTATTCCTGCAATCTCTTGATTTGTTGCCATAAAGTTTACACCCAGACTCTCCAGTGTTTGTTTGTCTCCCTCCCGCCTACCTGTAGTGGACCTGAAGCCCTGATCTTTGTAAAAGTAAACTGCCTTTTCATCCTACCTGCTGAATCTCTGACTGCTTTTGCACCTTGCCCATTTGAACTGGTGACATGTCTTAAGATGGCACATTACCAGTACAGAAAATAATGTTGTTATTCTCCAGACACTTGAAGGATTCTGGAGATGGATTTTTTTGAAAGATATCCCGCAGCAGCAACAGCAAGTCATCACACTGTAGCACAGTTAAAAAGGAATATAATGGGAAATATCTGAGATGCTGGCAACTGGAAAAAAAAAAGTAACTCTTATTTGAATGTAACATATGTGATCAGATTCATGTAGAACATATCAGCTTCCTTGCAATTTCTTAAAACTAACTGGAGAAAAACCTAATGCATTCATGTGCGTTAGTTTTAATTAGACAGTCAGGATTCATAATGCATCCGAGGAGTTCTGTGAGAGAAAACACAGCAGCCCTGGCTATGAAATATTAAGATGCTGTTCTCTTTCTGTCTTTGTTTCTTTCTCTCTTACAGACAGAAAGGATTCAGCCACATTAACTCTGGTACAATTTGTACCATTACATCAAAAAAAAAAGAATAGTTGAAAGATTTCTGAGTGATATTTCTGGCTTCCTGAGGTTTTGGTCCTTGAGGCAGTTTTTTTTTCTTCCTTATTTTTCTCTTGTATAATTTTACTCCCCATGGCTAAATTGATGACTGATCTTTTCTCTGTCTGTATTTGTGTTTGTTTGTCCATCTATGTGTTTGTCTTATTTGGAGTGACTGTTTGTTTTCTACATTTTTTCTATTTCATCACTAGAAGAGATAAGATAGAGCTGTAGAGAATAGGTTAGTCTAATATTTTCACAAGTGCAGTGTGTGTGTGTGTGTGTGTGTGTGTGTGTG